AAAAAAGTGCATGAAATAATCAGCAGTGTTTGGTATTTTGCAATGCATAAACATCTCAAGTGAACTTTGAATGATCCTTCTTTCTTTTCATAGTCTTAATCTCATTTGAGGATGTGGATGTGAGAATGGATGGAGTGTGAGTGTTGTTCTTATCTCACACCCACATCATACCCACTTTCAATAACATCTACATCCACACCCACTCTATGCTCTTTTTTCATATTATTTCAGAAAACAACCTAATCAAAATAAAACTAATTCACACAATTGAATTCCTAAACTTGTTATGTTTTGCATAATTATTTCGATATAAAACAAGAATTTCGTATGTCTCAATTTGAATTTCTTTTTTCGGTGAATAAATTCTTCTGACTGTTTTGTAAAAGAATAACATTTTGTGTTTCGTGTATTTCTTTCCAATTATACATTTGATTTAAAAAAAGAAATGTCACAAAACATTTCAAGTGAAGAAGAGAAAAAAATAACAAAAAGACACTTTTTTATTTTTTATCTAATGGACTTTTAGTGTTTCATAATAAGACAACATAAAAAAAGATAAGTAAATAAAATGGAGAAAAATAACATTTTTGAAAGTTGGCAATAATTTCAACTTGCTTTCCATTTTTTTTCTCTACGTCAAGTATTATTTCACTTTTTTAGTTGCGCTTGCTTTTCTCCTTTTGTCACTGAACAGCTTTTGTACCGTTAGGATCTACTGATCATCATTTTATGGAGAAAAGTGAAAAAAATAATATCAACTAAAAATAATATTTTCAATAAGTTCATTTTGATAATCAAAGAAATTGAAAATTTTTCGAAAATAAAAATATTTATAAATACAAAGATTTGATGGAAAAAGAAAGACTACATCGAAATAAACAAGTATAAGATATGATCAGATTTAAGCAGAACAACAAATATTCTTTATAATCAGATATCTCATCATAGATACATATAGAGAAATTTAATTTTTTTTCTTAAAAATTCACGACGAAAAGCATCAGAAGAATGATAATACCAAATATCTACAATGATTGGTATTAATGATCTTTTTCATAATGAAAACATATTTGGGAAAATTATATATTATTTAAAACGTATTCTATCATATAAATTCTGTTTAATGTGACATCATGTTAAAAATAAATCTAAAACATTATCACAGGTTTATATTAAATTGATCTTTTCTATTTTCAAATTTTTTGTTTAAAAATGTTGTTAAAATCTATTTGAAATGATGTTTATTTGAAAAAAAAGCAATAATTGTTTAATCAATGTTTTATTTATTAGAATATTATTCATATTGTATAATATTTATTAAATATTCTTTTAATTGAAATAATAAATAAAATTAACCAAATAATAATTTTATTCGTCAATGAATTTTTCCCAAATGTTATTTTATAGAAACAATGGATAAATTGATTGTTCATTATATTCTATTAAATATAATATTCTCAATAAATTTATTAACAAGTAACGCTCATCCTTTGGATTCGCTGACCCTTTTCTGAAAAAACTATAATAGTGCCTAGGACATTTAAATACTTTAAAAAACAAGAAACCCGATGCAATCGTCACTACACCTTCTTGAGGATGTAGCTGGGGTATGGCTAGGGTACGGGTGCTGGTATAGGTGTCGACTAAGCGAAGATTTCCACCCATACGAACACTCACACCCATTTCTTGATTATAATCCGGAACAGAAGGTTCATGGCCCACTGTACACTATTTTACATCGTTTAAACAATCTTAACAAAAATATTGTGTACAGTTGTTATGTCTGTTTTGTGATTTTGTATTTGACATCATTCTTTTTCCTTTTTTTCTTTCTATAAGTAATTGCAACATTATGTGAAACCAACGACACCAAACAAACACCTACTCAGTCATTCGGAAGAAAAAGCAACAGTACATCACACAATCAACACATAAAGCTACACAACACAATTTCGACGAAAAGTCTACAATGGCAAACTCAACCATCACTACCTTCTTAACGTTACCGGTAGAACTTGTCTACCGAATAATGGATTATGAATCTGATTTTACCATCCTCTGCTCAATGCGAAACGTATGTCAACGATTTAACAATATTGTAGACAGTTATGATCGATATCAAGTAAACTTTTTCCTATCATCACAGTCTAATGTTTCTTTATGGAAGTTCAAACTACTTTTCACTCCTACAATCTCTACTTAAACGTAATGACTTCAAAAAACATATATGTTGATAATCAAGAAAAATGACTTGTTTTTTTTCTTCCTTTTCAATCTCATTGAAATATTTCACGTTTTAAACAAAGTGTAATGCTATAAGCACACAGTGTTTACATAAGAACGAAAAAAAGAAACAAAATATTGTTATTTGATTTACACGTGTATCTAGACATGTTTTTTTTTACATACCGTTTCGATCATAAAAATCAAATTTTGAAAGAATTGAAAAGTGTAAAAACTAATTTATGTTATTAAAGACAATCTCCTAGAAACTCCTCTAAAACATATCTCTGGCAACTATTCTTTTGAGACCAGAGAGCACTGTAGTTATAGATGACGGTGGACGTGGATGGAGAGAAAATCGATGGAAAACAATATTCACATTCTCATCTAAATTATGAAACTAGGACATTACTTCAAAGAGTATTACTTCTAAAGCGAATATCTTTCTATGATAATTGTCCTGAAACGCATTTCAACTGAAGAAAACTTTCTCAAGGACAAAATGACGAGAATAATTCAGTGTCACAATTGAAAAAGCGATGATTCTCGTACATAAATCTAGTATGTATTTATCTTCCACTCAATTGGGCACATAATCCAACGCTTCACAATTCTTTTTTTCACCGAAGGAATTTTAATACTACTACTCATTCACCAGAACGCTTTCCTTCTTTCACAAACATTTAAGAATTCTAGCAACTAATGAACTAAAAATTATTATTCATGCGTCACCAATAATAACTTCGTTCATAATCAACTTTTCAAGCAATAATCTTAAGCAATACATAGCATTTCAAATGATAGACATATTGAGACTCATATTCGTTAGGCGGACCACATTTCGGATAATAGCGAACAACAATTCTATCCTTTCATTTACACTATCTCTTTATCTGTACTTTGCCATCTAGACACTCACCACATTAGATCTTGGATGGAAAAAAATCGGAGAAGTTGGAGCACAACATTTGGCTGATGGACTACGATACAATACAGTAATTCTTATTCTCTCTTCATCTATGCTATGTCTTTAATTGCGCTGTTTCAATCAGACACTCATCACACTAGATTTCAGATATAATGAAATCAGAGATATTGGAGCACAGCATTTGACTAACGGGTTACAACACAACACAGTAATTATTATTCTCTCTTCATCGATACCATGAGTTTACCTGCACTTTCTCATCTAGACACTCACCACGTTCATTCTCCGAGGTAACGAAATCGGAGATGTTGGAGCACAACATTTGGCTGATGTATTACGACATAACATAGTAATTATTATTCTCTCTTCATGTATACCAAATTTTTACCTGTACGTTTTCATGTAGACAATCGTTGCACTAGATGTCGCAGCTAATGGAATCAGACATGACATCGAACGTGAAATCAATGAATATGTTGTACGCAATATGAAAAATAGAAAACCATAAAAGTTAATATCGAATACATAGCTAGTGATGATGATAGCTATTTTTTTCTTACAGTGTAATTTTTATAAACACCATAAATAAAACTGCTTATTTTTCAACTTAATCTGCATTCTGATGATAATGTTTGCTTAAAGCTTTTGCAATGATGAGAAAGATATTATGCAAAAGAAAACAATAGAGCTTTTAGAAAAATATTTTCTGACACTGCAGCAAGTGCAAAACCAGGCTGAGATTGAACATTACAACAGGAAAGCTCTCAAAGTTTGTTCTCGGTGAGGATGACGCAGAAGATGCTTGATATCGTAGTAGCAAAACTCTCAAAGATTCTTCCTAATAACTTCGAACAATAAAAGGTGCTCTGTGATAATAGTAAAACCTTAAGAAGTTATTCTTAGTAATGCTGAAGTAAAGGGTTTTTTGGGTGATATTTCTATTCGATAATGATGAACTCAAAAAGATGACGTGTTTAGTACTGTTGAATCAAGTATGATTGTAGAGTAAATGTAATAAAAATTCGGTCTTTAATGATCATTATCAACTACAGAGAAACATAAACAAGAAACAAATGATGTTACAAATAACAAAGATTTTAACTTTAACAAATATAAATGTTAAAAAAAATATCAAAAACAAAATAAATATTTGACAATGATATTAATTATCGATAATAATGAATTTTGTTGGGTCTTAAATGATTAGTATTATTCAGTAGATACTCATACATGAGTTAGAATTATTAGTAAATATATAGGTATATGGAATAAACTTGACGAAGGGCGTGGGTGTGAATGTGATATAGATATGATATGGACACCTACACACGCATTTACACCCTCCTCCAGAGGTTTTGACAATGTTGATATCATTAACATATATTACCAGCATTCGTAACCTGAACTTTTCTGGCAACAACGAGTACTTCTACTAGTTAATATTATAAATCTAATATTGAATAAATCCTTAATTTATCGAACAATAAGTTTAATATGAATTATTATTTACATTTTTACTGTTAATTATGTGTACAAGACTGAGCAGCTTTTATTGATCATTCAGATAAAAAACGCGGTCATTTTAATTTTATCGATGTGTAATTTGAATATACGATTCAAAAATAAATGAAAATGGTGCGAAATTTTTGTCGTGTATTATTTACAAAGCAAATATGTGTTTTTTTCTGTTAGTAACGACATTATCTCTTATCTGTGTAAAAAAGTAGGGAAAATAAATTCTTTTCTCTGTTGTTTGTACTCACATGGTTTTATAACGTACATGAAATAATGCAAAGGACAAAGTTCTGCTGTAACTACTCAAAATAAAAAAAAGAAGATAATCAATGACGCCATTGTTACGACATGATATATCTCTTGCCATAAAGAATGTTGATTCTTTTTCATTTCCTCACGTACCACTGCTATCGTTGAGTATTTAAGAAGTGAATATTGTGCAGAGAAAGAATGATTCTTGTTTCATGAAAGAAGAGGAAAAAAGAACAAAAAGGAGCGATAACAGCCATAGAAACATTGAGATACAGAGATTTGATTCTCATATAAATAACGATATTCATTTGTCTTCTTAACCATTAATTCTTTCACTCTTCAACTACATTCAGTTATCATTATATACATAATATGGGCTTGGAACCTTCAAAACCGAGCGTAAAATCGTCTCATGGAACAACAGCGTCTTATACTCGCCAACCACGATACCATATGATACAAAACTACCTTCTTCTATGGACAGATATGAGCATCGACCATACAAATGAAGATTATGAAAATGCATTAAAACAAATACGAACTATTACTCGTGATGTCAATGTCTTTACGCAACGCGATGCATGCATCGACTATCTTACAGATCTTGGAGAAGACATCAAGTCTTTTCTCGTTGTCAAGGATACTATGTTTCAACAAATAATGCCCCTCATCAATGATATTCCTCAGCTGAATGGTGTTTATATTTTCGATGGTATTGAAACCTTACATGAAGAATGGACAACAAAATGGCAAAAAATCAAGACCGTTCAAACCAATATTGATGACTTATGCCACGAATTAAAAATCGGTATCAATCAGTTTAATCATGATTCGATTACCATGAGTTTTCTCACGCTAAGTGAAATGGCTTCAACTGATAATTTAAATCAATTGGAGCCAAATTTTATGTATACACAGGTATTCAAGGAAATTCTTCTTGATATGCAACATGGTAAACAAGCCATCAAACAGTTTATTGCTTATTGTAAAAATAATAACAGCCTATCATCAATTAATATTAACCATTTTGAGCAAGTATACCATGCTCAATCAGCTGTTTGGTGGTATACTTTCCCATCCAATATCTATCATATGCTCAATTATAGTCTTAGAACATTGGATGCTGATGCAATTATTACTATGGGTTTTTTAATGTGTCATCTGCATCAACAAATTCAACAGTTATACGAACAGCAACTCAGCACCTATGGTAAAGAAACATTTATAGTTTATCGAGGTCAAGGTCTTATGAAATCAGACTTTGAAAAACTTCAGAAAGCAAAAGGTGGACTTATCTCATTTAACAGTTTCTTATCGACTAGTACAAATAAAGAAGTGTCTGTCAGTTTTGCTCGATTTGCTTCAGCAGAACCGAATACGGTGGGGATTCTCTTTATGATGTCTATTGATCCCAATGTTAAATCAGTACCATTTGCCTCCATCAAAGAGGTGAGTTATTTTAAGGAAGAAGACGAAATTCTCTTCTCCATGCATACTGTCTTTCGAATGGGTGCAATTAAAAAAATAGACAATAATAATCAACTTTATCAAGTTGAATTACAACTAACATCGAATGATGATCAACAACTACGACTAATTACTGATCGGATACGAGAAAAAACTGTTGGTAATACTGGATGGCAGAGATTGGGTAGCTTATTGCTACAAATCGGTCAATTTAATAAAGCTGAAGAACTTTATAATATATTACTCGAACAGACATCGGATGAAGGTGGAAAGCAGTATTATTATAATCAGTTGGGATCTGTCAAATGTGGCCAGGGTGATTATGAAAAGGCTATATCGTATTACGAAAAAGGACTTGAAATTAAACAAAAACTTCTTCGTTCGAAACATCCTTCATTGGCTAATTCGTACAACAACATCGGTCATGTGTATTACAAGATGACAAAGTACTGGAAAGCACTGTCATTTTTCGAAAAAGCACTTGAAAATCTACAAGAAACTTTGCCTTCAAATCATCTTTTATGGACTACTTCATACAGCTACATCGGTAGTGTGTATATCCAGATGGGAAAGTACTCAGAAGCACTTTCGTTTTTCGAAAAAGCACTTGAAATTAAACAAAAAGCTCTTCCTTCAAATCATCCTGATTTCGCGCAGTCATACAACAACATCGGTTTGGCGTATGACGGTATGGGAGAGTTCTCGAAAACATTTTCATTTTACGAAAAAGCACTTGAAATTAAACAAAAAACTCTTCCTTCAAATCATCCTGATTTAGCTATTTCATACAAAAACATCGGTAATGTCTATGACAAGATGAGCGAGTACTCAAAAGCACTTTCATTCTACGAGAAAGTACTTGAAATTCAACAAAAAACTCTTCCTTCAAATCATCTTGATTTCGCGCAGTCATACAACAACATCGGTTGGGATTATAGATTTATGGAAGACTACTCGAAAGCACTCTCATATTATGAACGTGCTCTGAATATATACCAACATACATTACCTGAAACTGATATCAAAATTAAACTTGTGAAGACCTATATTGAAGCAGTAAAAAAGAAATTATAAAGAATAGTTGATAAATAAATAAAAGAAGGTTTTGTTCACTTATTTTTGAAGTAATTCTATTTTCAGTGACTCCCGCGCGCGTATAGAGAACAACTCTGCAAATAATAAAAACGTAATGGACAAAGCCGACCAATCGGATAATACACATACATACGTATGTGTATAAATGACGTTCTCAGACCTATTTACGTTTCTAATTCTTCACGAGAGCATCCCCTGCATTAAAAGAAGAATAACTGATAAAAAATTGAATTGTAATAGTGTTGAATGAGGCCTCATATGATGAGGAAAAATGCGAAAGCTACAGTATACAAATCAATATGTCATCAACACCATCTAGAGGGTGTGCGTGTGGGTGTCAGTGGTAGTGAGACTGCGGTTCCTTCCCTATCCATACTCACACTCACACCCGCCCTCAAGATGAAGAAACTTTGATCTATTTTTAACGCTCATTTCATTTAAAAAAACTGTCGCTTTGAAGACTCAATATGTGTTGTAGTTGAAATTATTAGCAGATACGCATACATATGTATTCCACTGATGGTAGTAGCGCCAGTCCAATATGTGAAAATAAGCACATGCTTTCATGATACCTTGTAATGTGACGACTATCTCATAGATAAGAGAATAAGACATGTGTATTTTGTTCCCAGTATTGAAATATAAGAAAGAATATTATAGTCGTAGCATCGAAGAATCAGTTTTCTCTTTTTAACTAGCGCAAAAAGTTGGTGTGAAACATGCGCACCATTCTATCCGCTACCATATTGGTGTATACCATTTGTTCATGCTTGTTTGGTGTGTCAAATGCTGATTTAAAGGGCGTCTTTGCTCATTACATGGCATGTGATAGAAACATGAAGTACTTTTTCACTCCGCGACTCTAACATTCAATTTTTGAAATAGGTTGGCACAATGCAGCCATGGCAAGCCGTCATAGATGTTCAAGAGGCACAATCTGTAGGAATCGATGCCTTTGCTTTGAACGTTGCTAGCACAGACACATGGTCTACAAATGCAATCCAGTATCTTTTCGATGCAGCAGCTCAATACAACAATTTTAAGTTATTCTTCTCTTTCGACATGATTCACTTCACTCATCCATCTCAATTTCTTGGTCTCATCGAACAATGGCACAATCATAAGTCGTATTACTCACATAATGGCCATCCGTTTGTGAGCACATTTTATGGGGCGAGGTTGTCCTTTGGTGAAAGTAGCCCTAGCAACGGTTGGCAAAAACATTACCGAGAACCACTACAAGCAAAGGGAATTTGGACATACTTTGTGCCAGCTTTCTCAGATGCAATGGGTAGTCCAACTGGATTTACCTATGCTTTCCCAGTAATTGATGGCGTAATGAACTGGGATGGCGCTTGGCCATATGAATCGGATGGACAAGTCGATGTTAGTAGTGCGAGTGATCAAGCATATTTGACCGATACGCATACCTATTCAAAGACCTTTATGATGGGTACGTTGTGATAATTCTTGATCCTATCTACAGTACAGCTGAGTGTCATGCCTATTACGTTTACCTTAAGAGAAAGATGTGTTTTCAGAAAGCTTTTTCTCTATTTTGTAAGGACGAAACATAGTGTTGCCCTTACAATAGCGAAGTGGAAGAGGTCGACATCGAGCTTGTAATAGCTCACTTTCGAATTTTACAAAGGCATTTGGAGGTGCCTCATATCCTGTTAATTTTATTCCAGATGATTTCAAAGGTTATGAATATTAAATAATAAAATAAATCGAAACTATGGAATTTCTTTAATAACAGAACTGGATCAAAGCAGATGTGATGTCTCAGTTTTTAATTTTTTCTAGACAACTTCTTGAAAGAGTCATATATGACTCTTAGCTATTGATTTGCAAAGTTTTTTTTGTAGTTCATATCGATGAACTTCATTAATACAGATATTCCTTACCTTTGATTTGTTTTATAACAGAGTATTCATATCCTCAAGAATCATTGGGAATATAACTAGCGGCTAATTTTCTTGAGGACCTTTCTAATGAGCAGACATTTTCCACATCCTACTTAAAACTCTGATTTTTATTCTCTGAAAATAAATTTTAAATTAATAACATTTGACATTTGGTATAAATCCCAAAAAAACAATCAAATATATTCTAATATTTTCGTAGCCATATCACCCGTTCAATTTAAGCATATGGATCATAATCAGAATTGGTATCGACGTGGTGAACTTAATTATGCAACTAGAATTCGTCAAGTTCTCTCACTTGCTCCTGATTTTCTTGAAATCGTAACTTGGAATGACGCTGGTGAGTCACATTATTTTGGAAAAATCTGGCCAGATTCCATAGCTGGTACTAATATCCAAACCTATACCGATGGTTATGATCATTCAGGATGGCAAAAGTTGTTACCACCATTTATAAAGGCATATAAAGCTGGCATCAAAGATGTTTCCAGTTTAATACCATCGGATGGAAAAGCAGTGAGTGGTGTGTTCTGGTATCGACCGTTATTAAAGTCGGCATCTTGCATTAATGATTTTATGGGAAAACCGCGTGGATGGATGAATGCTGAAGATAGTTTTAATTTGGTGGTATTGGCAGACTCACGTGCGAGTGAGTACACAATTAACATCTACAGTGGATACGATATGCTTGCGTGGTATCGTCCTGTGCAAGGTTTAAACTCATGGAGCATTCCTGGATTACGAATTGGATCACAAAGCATAGAAATTGTGGATATTAACGGACGGGTCATAGCAAGTGGAAAGGGAACAATGACTGTTATTGGAGATATGAGTCATGGAGTTTGTAATTATAACTATCAAGTTGTTGGTTTTTAAATATAATTGCAAAAATAAATATATGAAGTATAAAAAAGAGTCAGTCTATGTAAATAAAGTCGATACAAAAGGTATTGAACCAGTATATGGTGTTGCAGGCTATCCCAAAGTTAGTAGGTACAGTGAAGTAATGATATGTATGATTAGCGAATAAAGGTAAAATAAAAAAGGGCGTAGGTTAAGAGAAGGTAGAAACCCGCACCTACATTCACGCACACCCACACTCACACTCGAAAATTATGAATAATTTTTTTTGACTAAAGTGGGTGTGGGTGTGGTTGTGGACAAATGAGAATGATAGATCGATATAATATACATACCCACACCCACCCTCAAGATGTTCATTGGACATATGTATCAAAATATACCCGTGACAAATAATGATGCAATCTGGTGTCATTTAAAAGTTTATTTCGCAACTGTTGCTATTGTACGTGCATTATATGCAAATACATTTCAAGGTCTTCACCGCTTTTGTCGGATAATTTATTATACTCGTCTTTTTTTTCATCGTAATATATATCTATATAGTTGCGGCATACTAATTCAAATATTCCTAGGTATACTTCAACCATTATCAGTTCTTGTAACAGGTGTATATCAATATGAAGATTATCATTGTCAAATGAGTTTGACAAATTGGCGTGGAATGATATTAGGAGCTTTTCTGATTTAGCTTTCACCTATTACAATTATAGTCATTATCTATGCATGTACACTAAGTTATATACGTCATTATTCAATAACATTTACTCTACTACAACAAACAAGAATTAAACGTGATTTTACTGTTATATAAACGTATCGTATGATTAGTCTTTTTTATATTCATATTTGGTATGCCAGCACGTGCTTCAACCATCGTATACTATTTATTTGGTTATATTGGATGGTGGGCTAATCATTTGACATGGTTAACATGTATAATATCTTTTATTGGTTTCACATCTTCGTGTTTTATGGTCGAAAAATCCCGCTTGAATTAATCCGAGAAGAGTAACAACATTAAGAAATTTTACCTAACTTATATAATCAAAAACTTTTTCTCCTTTCTTCACCTTATTTTTCATGTGTATTTTTGTTTGATCATTGAACAACAGATAGACAACAGGAAAATACAATATAAACAAACTGGGTACTTCTCTGCCGCTTGTGATAGGTGAAAATATCCATGTAGAAAAATAATCTTACTTTTTTCTAGTTAGAAAAAATAGTTCTTAATAAGGGAAGAAAATTCTTGAAAATTTTGTTTTCAGTTTATTCTGTTTCAAGCCGGATCGATATAAATAAGTTAGCATACTCTTTATTCATGGTCAAAAATATGTTTGTAGAACGGTATAAATGATCGTTAGCTATTGTGATATCTGCTTTTCATTTTCAAATTATTTTACTTTCAATCGATCGTTCTATTAGTATTATTTGTAATATGCTTTAGTAATGAAGAAAAAAAAAATATCTAATAGTGCTTATACTTTGTTATTCATTATCGTATATGATATGTATTTATTTTTAGATTCTATCGTATTGCATGTTATGAGAACGAAAAAATATCATGTGCTTTTTCTTGATCCAATCAATTTCGTTACTTCTATTTTTTCATTTATCTACGTAAAATATCAAACAAGAAAGTTGCTACAGTTCGGTCATATAATAATATACCGATATAATACGTTAATATTGTAATTATGAGAAATATAGACTTTATTTGCAATTAGAATTAATAAATGTTGTTTTTTTGTCGTGGTAGCGTACTTTTACACATCTAAAAAGATATTATATTGACAATATATGGTTTATCTAAATTCAATGAAATATACTTTTTCATAAACGTTTTGATGATTATTGCAATTCAAATAAATTTTCTCAAATATAATTTGAAAAATATTTTTACTGAAAATTATATATCATAAAGATTCTTATAAAGATCGAACATTTTCTCAATATATGATTACTATGAAGATTTGTTTTTCAAAAAAATTTAGTAATACGAAATCGTTTAGAGATATACACATTAATGCCATTTGAGAGATAAAGAAACACATATTAGAAATAGTGAATTGAATGTTAAATTTATTTCTTTGTATGAATCATTTTCATAATTCTTTTCTTGTTTTTCATTAAAATTTATACGCAATTTATCATTATTCATCTTAAATATATTCTTGTTTACTATCAAAAATATAATAACATGTATATTGTGCTTGGTTGTGATTGGTTAAACATTAAATAAAAAAATAATGTATTTAAATACGCTTTTGTCTTGAGTTTGGATTGATGGCGTACGCCTTAATAATAATCATAATGATGTATAAAGGTGAATAATAGTATTGCCGTATATAAAGGAGGATATTTTATGTGTAGATTATTTATTGTAAAGAAAAAATAAACGTATACATCAATATGGAACGTGAAGGTGCTCCTGAACCAGGTTTTTTCAATGCTATTCGTCGTGAAGAAGGAAAAATTGAAGGTGAATTTCGAGATATAGAAAGAAGTCATGAACAACGTGAAGCTGATAAATATGAAAATCGTGCTGATAAATATGAACGAAAAGAAGAAGAAGATTTCAATCAAGGACGTTTTCCATAAATATTTTCATTTTTATGTGATCAATTAATCAAGCTTTTTCATTTATAATTTATATTTTATTCAAATTTTCATTAAAAAAGCTTTGAAATAAATGTCGTTTTACTTCCATCATTTTCTAATACAATAATATTGCGAATTTGAAATGTGTTTATTTTTATTTTGAAAAATTATAACGACTAAAAAATTATAGCTACAAATATCAGAAAAATTGAAAAACTTTAGTATTTAGATGAGTTTTAACATTATTTTAGATTTTCTTAATAGTCATCGTACAGGTCAACTCTAAATAATAATCGTAGACACATGTAGATAACAAGTGGTTTAAAGGCATATATAGATATATAGAGAAGTACTTCAAGCACTAACATTAAAAATATTATAATGATAAATAGATTCGAATCATATCTTGCAATTATATCAAGTTATGGCAAAAAGAAAATGAATTTTTAATATCAATTTAATTATAATATCTATCTTATTAACAGAGAATGTAAAATAAATATATTATGTTTATATTTATTTTTCTTTCTATCATTGATGATTGAATAATAAATAACCTAGAGAAAATAATATAAAAGCATATCATTTACTAGATATTAAACTTACGATTGTAGTAAGTTGTTTGATTCATAGTCTTATGTTGTATTTTTTTTGGTTTCTTCGCAATTAAATAAGAAATTAAGCAATTTACAAATGTGAAAAAGAAATGTTAATACAATATTTGATATTAATAATAAGAGTAGTATTATTAAAAAAATGTCATGTTTATTATATGGATACTTATTTTAATGATATTTAAGTAATTTTCGTTATATAATGTTATTACGTGTAACGATTTTTTGTTTGTACTGAATTCCATTGAATCGATTACAGAGAGCGAAACGAGGCAATATTTTACTGCCTCGCCTCGCCTCGCCTCGCCTCGGTCTTTTTTAGATGATATAGACATTAATCCTCAGAACATCGCCTTTATTAAAAATTTCATTTAGTTTTGTGATATTTCCAATGTGTATGCATTAGGTTTTTGATTAACTTATTTGACAATATTTTATTTCATTTTCTAATGAGCCAACAAGAAATATCAATTACGGAAAAAAAGTTAGTAAAAAATGTTTTACACAGTTGGCAACTTTATTTTGTTGCTTTCAATTGACTGTAGAAATAATATATTATTAACTGTTGATGGCTCACTTATAGATCGCCGCTGCAAGACAATCTGTCCTGAAACTCTGAACTCTCGTTCCACTGCTGCGAAACTACATGGAATAGAAAATTTCCTTAGTTAAACGAGATAAACATGAAAAAATAGAGTTGTTTTCTTTACAAAAATGAAGTTGATCGAGAAATACTTTGCCCTGAACATCAAACTCGATACATCTGTCAACCTAAGCTTTTGTTTGCTTCAATTTCTTTCTTTTTGCTTATATATCATGGTCCCTTAAAGGCTCAATAAAGGATGCAAATCCTGGAATGATCTCAAACCCATCTCCATCTATTATTCGAGTAGAAAATCTGATGATGCCCAACAATTTGTTGTCAATCGTTTACTCGGATTGTTCATAATTCTATTACCATCTTTTTAATTTTTCTAAAATGTTTCAATTGATTTTGAAGTGTGAGAAGTACTTGAGAGGGGCTTCGTCCGATTAGGAGAAGAAATCAAAATACATTCATCATTTAAAACCATCTAAAGAGAAGGTGAGCAGAACTTCTGAAGTAAACAATCAAATAGGGGAGAATTCAATTATAAAATAAAAGAAAAGAATACGTGAATTGAGTCGTCCATTTAGTCATAGATTGTATGCGTTTGTCGTACAAAGGATTGAAGAACCAGTAAAAAACGTTATTTCTTACTAATACAAATGTTAGTAAAAGTCGAGGTGGCACTTCTCACCTCGCTTTGACCTACTTTTGAAAAAGGCTGCCTCGCCTCGAATTAAACCGAGACGAGGCGAGGCGCCTCGACGAAGCTTCGCCTCGTTTCGGGCTCTGATCGATTATCAACCAATCTAAAATCAAGTTTCCATTTTCTTACATTTACATAATGAGTGAGAAGGCGATATCACCATACGTTATCCGATTGGACAATACAAATTAATTGTTTATATGCAATCATCACAAAGAAATTATATTCATCTGTCTGATCTTTGTTTGTTATCTATAAATATATGACTTTCTGCTGTTAATATCAAAATAAAAAATGTGTTATTCTAAGGTAAATTGTTAAATAAATCATGTTTTTCTTTCAGATTTATAGGTAATATCGATCGTACATTGAAATAATATTGATCGTATATTTAAATAATATTAATCTTACATTTAAACAATATTAATCGTATATTTAAATAGTATTGATCGTACATTTAAACAGTATTATTGTTCATACACAGATTTAAAATGGCGAGCTCTAGTCATAATAAATCTTTAGAAATTAGAGAAGAAAAAGAAGTAAATATATTCAAAAATAAAATAATATTTTTTTAAAAATTCATTGCTTTTTTTTAGAACAATCATGAAGAAAACAAAGACGAAACAATAAGGAATTTGAAGCAACAAGTGGTCAACTTGACGCAACAAGTGACTGTACCCAGGTCGATTATTGCGAACTTCGTAAACGATTGAATACGACCGTATCCAGAAAAAATACGACCATATACGATCGTATTTCACCGTTTTTTGCCGTGTTACCTGTGGCCGTATTACGATCGTATGTCTCCATACCGTATACGGAAAAGTATGGTCGTTTATGATCGCGCTTGTTTGACCTGGGTAATCTCAAAAGCTGGCTCGAAAAATATGTGAAAACAATCGAAACGACGGATACAAAAATCAGCAAACTGGAAATGGAACTTGACAAAGAACGAAAAAAAAACATGGAAATTGCCTCATCGGACTCTAATTCTCCACCATTAATCAAAAGTTAAATAATGGTTATAATAGGACAAGTCCCATGAATTAATGTATTATTTTTTTGTACAATTGATATATGCTATTTTCTCTTTTTTTTGTTATCTTATTATTCATCTTTATGTATACATTTCTTGCTGTTAATTTTCGGGCAGCAGAATGTTTCCATATCTTGGTAATATTATAGATTAATAAATATTAGATTATGTGTACAAAATGACGATGTTGAGGTTGTTTTATGATGTACTCGTTGAAGAAAGGCTGATAATTCGTTTGTTGTACGTCGGAATGATCATTTGGAAAATTGTTCAAATAAAAATGAAAATAAATATATACGTGTTATCTCGTAAAACTGATAGAAGAATATTGTGAATGTGATTATATAATAACATACAACACATCTTTTTTTGACAATGTTCTGAAAAATTTTCAAAGAAAAACTATTAAAGAGTGAATATTATGTTGTACTTCGATTTATTACCATGTATACTCTTAAGGAAAAGTACAATATTATACACTGAATTCACATATACCGTTAAAAATAGTTAATGATCAGTACCAACAAAAATCCATAATAAAAATCGTGTTTTTGCGACACTTCTTGCATTAAGCATCATATTAATAATCTATCTTATAAATTAATTTTCAAGAAAAAGGCGCTATTATATCATTTGCATTGTTTATAACAATGAGTGAAATTATCAATGAACGTGGTTCCCTTTCAAGTGATATTGGTGAAATAGAGATTTCTACGGATGATACAGAATTTGAAGATCAACGATTCCGGTTTTTTCTATCATATCTAAATATAGTTTATGGTACAACACCAACAGTATTTAAAACAGGTGTTTTTATTTTTACTCGAAAATTTTAAATAATAAGATTTATTTCTAGCAATTCTTAACAATGAAATAAATCGTAAATTAATTGAATCATTTCTTGATAAATCTGATCGTAATATAATACTTATTTTTGAAAATTCTGATTCATTAAATATTCTAACTGAATTTCCAATTGAAATTAAATCGAAAATAATTTGTTTTATTAAACGAAATGAAATGATTATTGAAAATGATATTCCATTAAAAAAACAAATTGCTATTGCAGAATTTACACATTCATCTATGACACAACTACATTTATTTATATCTGAAGTAGATTGAATTAATAAAAACAAAAAAGGAATTAAATATTTTTATAGATTTTATGGCCTATATTACAACAACGAAAAATAATATCTGATTGGCCTGATATTGTCATTCGAAATTGTATACAAAATGTATCGGAATTAACTAATTTATTAACAATAGTAAACGGAATACTTCGAGGACGAACTATCTTATCAATACCTCATGAAATTGAATTTTTATCAAGATCTGATTATCTTCGTGTACTTAGTCAGTAAGAAGAAATTTTTAATCTCGATAGTCATTATAAAATAAGTCGAAGAGATGTTTATTTTAAAGTTAAAAATTGAGTCTATACTTCAAATAATACGAAATAGAACTATGATGAAGTCTATTATCAACGTTTTCGTTCATAATTTTATGATAATAGCTCTCGTCAATCTACGGTACACTTGAGAGAAAAGATGACTGATTTATTTGTAATTTTTTTGACTTCATTCATTAATCAAATAATTTATTTTATATTAGAAATAAAACATTTGATAATCGAAAAATTCGTTTATTAGAAAATCTTATAATGACATGGAAAAATCAAATTCAAACAGCAATTAATTATAATTCAGATCCACCAAAAAATCAATATAATCTATTACCTAATATTGAAATTGACTTTTGGATTGCAAGAGCAGAAAATTTACAAGGAATTCAAACGCAAGTATGTAAAAAATTAAGAAAAAAAAATGATTAATAATAAAAACAAATTGAATAGATGCATTCATCAATAATTCGACGTCTTGTTGAAATTCTTGAAAATTCTGGATCGAATTATTTCTCTGCATTTCGTACAATATTTCGTGATGTTATTCAAGCATTAGCGGAAGCACAAAATATTGCTTTATATTTAAAATCACTTGTATCCATATTTGAATTAATTGAAAAAGTTCAAAATATTGAATCATTATCATT